GAAGTTGCTAGCGTTACATAGACAAAGTTCTCCTTAGTGTGCTGTACTTAATAAGACAATTTTCTGTATGTCTCTTAAGCTGGGGTTTCCAGGGATTCTTTCAATGTGTTGTTTTGTTCCATTTTTTATAATTCCAAGTGCACCTATTACCACTGGTATTATTCTTGTTTTCAATTTCCACATTTTTTCTATTTCAATTTCCAGGTCTTTGTATTTTGATAGTTTTTCAAATTCCTTGGTTGCTATGTTACAATTCGCTGGACAAGCCATATCAATTAGTAGGCAAGTTTTTTCTTTCTGGTTTTTGACAATAATGTCCGGCCTATTTGCTTCAATTTTTCTGTCTGTGTGGATGGTATATTATTATTATTATTATTATTATTATTATTATTGAGAGTAGTATAATCATTTTAGTTGTTTTACTGCTTTAAGTTTCTACTGTAATTTGTGTACTTCGGAAGAAATCTAGATGGTAAAAAGACTGAAACATTGTCAATACAACAACAAAGAGCCTAATGCCCTGAATAAAAAAGCTAATTCACTTAAATTAATTGAAAATGTTGCCATTTCAACCATTTTTATTCTAACTTATATCTGAACCAAAAAAAGAAAGAAAAGAAAATGGACATTGTTAACCATGTTTGCCGTAGTCTTTGAATATAGAATCCAGTGAAGTCCGTAATGTTTCAATATCAGAGGTTGGCAATAAAGATTTGGAGAAAGTAGCAGCTGTTAAGTAATTCTTTAAGTCTTCGATATCAGAGGTTGGCAATGAAGATATTTTGGGAGAAAAAACAAAATGGCTGCCTTTATACGCGTCGGATTGAATATTTTGAGCTTTCTGATTGGTTAACCCATCTCTTGGTGGACTATAAAATGAGTCAGCTCATTTTGGTTGGCTCACTAGTACATATATCCAAAAAACTGTAACAGACATATCCAAGAGACGTTGAGAATGTTGTTTCGCTACAGTCACCATAAAATAAATAAACGTCCGTGAATTTTGTATGCATCTATCGTCTTTGCTTACATATTATTTAGTTGTAAGGTATGTAGTGTATGTGTGCATTGTAGAGTAAACCCGCAGCTTCATCTAAATTACACACATACCCTACAAACATTTTTAAATTCCAATAAATGTTCCATAATCGAGAAGTCCGAGAAGAAAATGAAATTATTTATAGAAAAGACACAGGGAAGCAAATTTAATCCAGTGGGAAAATGACTGACGCCGAGTGGTCAAGTTAGGACCAATAATATTGCTGATTATTCTTTGAGTTGTATCGAGAATTTTTAAATATATAGCAGGAGCACAGGACGATATGTGGCAGCAATAGTCTAAGCATTGACAAGTGGTAGACATTTATATATCTAAGTGTTGACTTCAATGGTCACTTTTATATTTACACACGCTCTATCTCATTTATTCGAAAAGTATTACATAAAAATGTTATAAAATCACTACAAAAATAGCCCACTTGATAAGACAATAGAAGTGTTGAAACAAAATTTTGTAGTGATTTTATAACATTTTTATGATATAATTTTCGAATAAATGATTATATATTTGATATAAATTTCGAATAAATGATTTATATTTGCTCTACTCTGTATTGAGTACTCTTTTAATAATAGTTTTTGTTGGTTATTGGAATTTATTTCAGTATACACCAATCCTATACTTGGGTATATATATATATATATATATATATATATTCTGGAGAGATAAATGGTCTAACACGAAACAATGAACCCACATTCTTAGCAGTAGACCTAATGGATTAAATATAGTCTTTCTTCTTCATGTCCGATTATTGTACAACATCCGTGTCTTAACCACGTGAAAGATTTGGAAATTCTTAATAGTAAAGCAGAACTTTTAGTTTACAACTGTGGAATCTACTGGCTGGTAATGCACGGATTTCCCATTTCTGTGATCGTCTGAAAGATCTATTCATATTCTTCTTTATGGAAGGTGACTTGGTGCACTGCAATGATATCAGTGGCCTTATGCAATCCCTTAACATCAGTTAATGTCCGGAGGAATAGAGGTTGTTTATTAATTTCTCCAAGACAAGTCTCAAAGCTGTCTTGTTAAAGAATTGTAATGATTTACGTTTAACCCCAGTTGGTCATGCCATGCACATGATAGAAACTTATGACAATATGAAACAACTCCTGAAACATTAAGAATATTTGAAGGTTGTTGCTGTCTTGCTAGGACTGCTAGGTGAATATATATAGTACTGTTGTTTTTGTGAGTGGAACAGCCATGACAGTTGTCATTATATCAATGAAACTGGCCACTAAGATAATCACTGGAATCTGGAATGAATCTAATACTAATTAAGTCAAAGAAAGATTTGTTGCCGCATCTTCACATCAAGTTTGGTCTTATGAAAAATTTCATGAAGGCTATGACCAAATCAAATAGAGCATTCAAGTATGTACAGAATACATTTACCAATAGCAAAAATAAAGGCAGACATCTTTGTTGGTCCTCTGATTTGTAAACTTTTTTAGACACAAATTTTGCCAAAGTCCTACGGGGAAAGGAAAAACTGTATGGAAACCTTTCAAAGCAGTGACAACCAACTTTCTAGGTAATAAAAGAGCAGAAAATTACAGAAACAAAAATGGTGGAAAACCTCAAGACATACAAATATCATGGCCTTAACAAGTCGTTGAAGATCCTCTTCTTAAACTCCCATTTCGATTCTTTCCTCAAACTATTGTCCCCTGAGTGACGAGCATGGTGAACGATTTCATTAAGACATTGCAGCAATGGAGAAAAGGTATTAGGACAAATGGAGTCCATCAGTGCTGACTGATTATTGTTGAACTATGACCAGAGATGATCCTTCTGCAATTTACAAAAGGCAAACTAAAAAGTGACGTGTGTTTGCTGAATATCTGCGCATGAATATAAATTTGAAGAGAGTTTTGCAGTTGTATTTTATCCAATAAATATATTTCGCTATCTTGATGTGTTTTGCTCTGGTAGCCTACATATAACAAGAAAGAACACCATAGCCGATTTTGCAAAGCAACATTGTTTTCCTTGGAGAAATCCATTGTACTCATGTGTATGATAAAATATCTTTAATTCTAGAGCCAATCATCTGTTTGCAAGGTCATTTTCAAATTCAGTATGCAAAAATGCATCAGAATTAGCACAGTTTATTTCTGAAGTTTTTAACTTGTGGAAGTTTTCGACCAGGGTAATAAATATATATTTTGTTCCTAAAGCGTAACACAATATATATATATATATTTATAGTTAGTATACATACGATAAATTTGAAAGACTCCATCCCGACATAAAAATCGATGCTTCTGTTTCCATTGGGGCGCTTTAAAGATTTTATGCCTATTGTCTCCAATACCTTCAAGTGAAAGTAACATTACGCCATCCAACAGCAAGACCTCTGATTGAGAACCATCTCTTAATAGCTGTTGTTCCCAGGTCCACCCCAACCCGAGGCGGTAGCACCTCACCAGTTAGGTTCCAAGCTAAATACTGAATCCTCAAACTGGTGTCTAAAAACTGAAAGTATAGATTAAAAATTAAAAAATAAATTGACAGCAACATATTTTTGAGAAAGCAATAGATTCTTGTAAAAAGAAAAAAAATATTCAATCTCCCAAGAAAATTAAATTTCGGCATTAAATGACCCATAACAAACAATCAAAAGTGCCAAACTTAGATCTAAGAATATGTCTTTATGATAGGCAAACCATTCAGTAGATGGTTACTGTATGTTGACCAGGTTGTATTACGAGACCTATGGAAACTATCCCATTGTCCTTTACGAATCTTAGTTGAGTAATGCACACTGAAGTAATGGATAGCGGCTCTGATTGAGGAATCAGAGAGTCGAGTTCGAATTCCAGTCGAATCCATTACATTCACTTACGTGCTAATACCCTTGTTAAAGGTATGAATCCTCTTCTCCCTCCCCCCGGTATAGGTAAATAGCAGGACAAACCGGGTTCTATAGCCTTTGATGGCAATTGGTCTACTGCAGAAAGAAATGGCAACCTACTAGATGGAAAAAAATCTGCTTCGTTAGTCATGTATTGAAAGATATTTGATCTCATGTATTTAGTTTTATAAACCTGTGCCATTTCAAGATTAGCAGTAGAGCCCGGCGTTGCTCGGGGATGTAACAGTAAGAGATAGATCAAGTATCGACCATCATAAAGACTGAAAAATAAAATTGACAAAGATTATTGTTTAAGGTTGACGGACACGCATGTCTTAATTAGTCTTTTTTTTTACGAATTGGTCAAACCCAAACTCAAAAAAAACATTGTTTTCAATCGTTATGAGTCTAACGATTGAATAGAATTTTATTATAAACAATTGTCTTGAAGATGGAATTTTTAAAGAAAAAGTGTGCAAGGCAATAAGAAACACTACCTGCCCCACCCCAAAGTGAAGTTTTGTTGAAATCAGTTGAAAAATGTAGGAAATCCGATCCCATATAAAAACGAACACAAATAAACACAAACACCCTGGGTTTTATAATAAGTATAACTCGATATGAGTTGTCCCCCTTTCATTCTCGTGATGCCTCTTAATCGTGTTTTCAAATTGATTTCGTGCAAAAACAATCTGTTTTTTCAATTTTTGGTGCTGTCAGAACCGACGCAAGGTAATTTTACGTAGTCCTGTGAAGTTTTGTTGAAATCGGTTGAAAAATGTAGGAAATCCGATCCAGTACGTAGAAACACACACACACACACAATCTGCGTTTTATAATAAGTAAGCTTATGCACCTGTAGCCATTATCACACAAGACTGTCTTAATAAATTAAAGAGAATTCAATTGAATATCATATTGGCAAAATCAATATTTACACTCTTTAAATATGATCTTCACATATATTATACATTTTATACTTTAAAATCAATTTATGTGAAAATTCTTTTCCTTTTTTGGCTTTGGCTCGCAGCGAATCAACACAATATATACGTTCCCGAAAGAGCCATAATTATGCGGCCATCTTTATCCCACCCTCCTGTCGCTTCTTCTAGCGTCAAAACATCATCGTTTCATCAAGTCTTCCACCCACGTCGCTTGATGAGTGCTACAAGTGACAGTGAATTGTGATGCTTCCCACAACTGACGAACTGTCTGATTAGATGAATTGCACGAGGGATGAGCGCCGGTTCGAAATACCGAGAGATTTAAACATCACGTTCGATTCGTCAATCAATTAACGAGATCGGAGGCACACTTTCAGGGATCGTACATAACCTCGCCGCGTTCATAAGTATGTGAGTCGCCATCTTCCTTTCCCATTTCTTCGTTTTCCTTCAAGTTATCACACTTTTTATCACCTTTTCGTCTACCTTAGACTCTCTTTCTTTTTTGCTTTCTCTTTTTAATTTTCTTTCTTTCTCTCTTTGATTTTCTTTTCTTTCTTTATTTCTTGCACTTTTCTTCTCACGTTTGTTCTGTTTTTATTCTTGATTTTTCTGTGTCTCTTCATTTTTCTTTTCTTTTCTTTCCCATCTTTGTTTCCTTTCCTTTACATTGTATTATGTTTTCACTAAACTCTCACTTTCCTGTTCATTTTTTAAACATATGTTTTTTATTTTCTTCTCCCCCCACTAATTTTGGCTTCATTCGCTTTATTATTTATTTTATTATTTCTTGTGTTTTTTCATTCTATCTGTTTTTTTCCATTCTACCTCATTTTTCATTCTACCTCATTTTTCATTCTACCTTATTTTTTCATTCTATCTTATTTTTCATTCTACCTCCTTCTTTTATTCCTGTCCTTTCCTTTGTCTTGTTTATTTCTTCTTTCTACGTTTAAACATTTTTACTTTCTTTCTTTATTTCTTCTCCCTATTGTACACCTTTATTTGTATTCAGTTATTAAAATATATTAATCCATTTCTTTCTTTCTTTCTTTCTTTCTTTTTTCTTTCTTTCTTTCTTTCTATTGCATTTTTGTACATCTCTATTTATATGTAGTTTTTAGAATATATTAATCCTTTCTTTCTTTCTTTCTTTCTTTCTTTCTTTCTTTTACTCCCTATTGACTTTTGCACATCTTTATTTATATTCAGTTTTTAAAATATATTTATTCACTCTTTCTTTCTTTCTTTCTTTCTTTCTTTTTTCTTTCCTTCTTTTTTTCTTTCTTTCTATTGCATTTTTGTACATCTCTATATTTAGTTTTTAGAATATATTAATCCTTTCTTTCTTTCTTTCTTTCTTTTTCTCCCTATTGCACTTTTGCACATCTTTATTTATATTCAGTTTTTAAAATACATTTATTCACTCTTTCTTTCTTTCTTTTTTCTTTCCTTCTTTTTTCTTTCTTTCTATTGCATTTTTATACATCTCTATTTATATTTAGTTTTTAGAATATATTAATCCTTTCTTTCTTTCTTTCTTTCTTTCTTTCTTTCTTTCTTTCTTTTTCTCCCTATTGACTTTTGCACATCTTTATTTATATTCAGTTTTTAAAATACATTTATTCACTCTTTCTTTCTTTCTTTTTTATTTCTTTCTTTCTTCAATCATCTTTTTTCTATTATTTCTTTCTTTCCTTCATTTCTTTCTTTCTTTTTTATATTTTGCAATTATCAATTTATTTATTTTATTCTAACAATTTCTTTCTTTCGTTTTTCTTGATATGATATTATTTCTTTCTTTTTCTGTCATTTTTTCTACCTCTTTTATATTTATTTATATTTATTCTTATAAAATATATTACCGTATTCTTCCTTTCCTCTTTCTATTCCTTATATTTTTCCTTCTTTCTTTACCCCTACTGTCAGTCTCTTTCTTTATTTTATCAATTTCATTCTTTCTTTTACCAGTTTTTTTTTCCTTTCTTCTCTCGAGTTTTCTTTCATTCTTCTTTTAATTTTTTTTCTCTATTATTTTTATTCTTTCCTTTTTTCCTTTTACTGTCATTTTCTTTTTTTATTCTGACATTTTTTTTATTTCTTTGTTTTATTCTATGAATGTTTTTTTTTTCATTTTCCTTTGCTCCTGCTTTTTACTTTTTAATTCTACTTCTTTAGAATATTTATATCTGTTTTCGTTTATCCTCCCGTTTTATTTTAAATTAGAATTCTCTTTCTCTCTTTGTATAATTATATACCTATTAAACATCCCACCTTTATTTAAACACATTTTTTTTTTAATTCTTCTTATCATTTTTTTTTAAATTTTGTATGGATGGCAGTATGAGAAAAAAAAAGATGCGAACTACGAACTGAAGAAGCCAAAATCAAGAAAAATACATAATTTTAAATATCTGAGAGTGGAAAATGTGACACCGAAATCCGAAGTCGCATTGTAACAGTCTATTGCAAAAACAAAGCAAAGTATTAGGTTGGTGCAAAAAATAATGATGTCGTTTTTTGACGTTAAAAAATACGTCCAAAAACGACATTATTGCGTTATAATTATTGCACCAACCTAATAGTTCAGAAATAGGAATTTATTTTACAGTAAGCTTCACCCTTTACATGACAATTTGAGGTACAGGGTTACAGAGCCAGGAGTAGAATCTATGCTGATATGGGGGAAAAATGACAGTTAATCCCAGAGTGAAACAGGTTAAGATTCTAATAATCAGAAAAACAACTTTGGAGTTGCTTCCACAAAGCAGCTGTTCGCTGGAAGAAGTTCCTCGATTGGAACTTACTTCTCACCAATGGAATACGAAGAGAATGAGGGTGTGTCGCTACAATGTGCATAGCATGGTGGGTCTTATCTGTGAAGGTTAGAATTGGTGTCACTAAAGAATGCAGTTCGTCTAAGCACTTTACATGGAAATAGCACGAGAGCAGTCATAGTCTTCCGACGTTTCTTCTGCGAGAAAGGATTTGTACAGTGGGCTAAGTTTTTAGCTACCCTAAATTACAGCAATTTTCGCTTGTGTGATAGCGTATCTTCTTTTTATTTTCAGACAATACCGTGTTGGTATCAACCTATTCTAATCTATGAACAATAGTTATCTTATATTTTGCAATGAAAGTTCGTGGTAGTAAGAAAATTGATGAATCTCAACGAGGGCAAATAATAGGATGGCAACAGTGTGGCAAGTCAAATAAAGAAACTGCTTGGTTTTTCCAGATTAATCATCAAAGGGTTAATAATGTTGTCAAGGAATTTTATGAAGAAGGCCATTGTTGAGTAGAACAATGTTCAGGAAGACCATGCATCGTGTCTGAACAAACGAAAAGGGCACTGAAGAGGGAAGTCATCAGAAACCGTCTTCAGAGCGTCAAAGATATCACCAACAGCATTGAAATGTCGCCATATGCGATGGGAAAGACTCTGGAAGATCTAGGCTATCAAAGAAGAGAGAGTTGCAAGAAAGAAGCCCTTCATTTCAGAGATTACCAGGAACAAGCATATGAACTGGGCCAAAGAATTCGAGAGCAAAGATTTCGAATCTTGGAAGTCTGTATTTTGGTTACATTAAATTAAATTCTGCCAGTATTCGAATTCCAGACAGGTTTATGTTTAGAGAAATCACAATGAGACTTAGAACACTGAATATCTGCAGGCGACGGGGAAACATGGACGGATTGGAGTAATGGTGCAGGGTGCTGTCTGATTTGGATGGAAATCTGAGCTGATTCTTGTTGATGAGTGGTTTAATAGTCTAAAATACTGTCAAATATTAGAGAAAGGACTACTCCCAAAATTTGAAACCAATCAGATTGACAAGAATGCCTACCTGTTTCAAGAAGATGGAGCGCCATGTTATACGAACGAAGTAGGAAAGACCTGGAAGGAATCGCAAGGAATGAAGTCACTGACATAAGCAACCCAAAGTCCTGACATGAAACTAATAGAGCACGTTTTGGAACACATTCACCGAAAACTTTGAGAACGTGCAACCAAAATCACGTCAGTGGCAACCCTTAAAGAAACATTGCCAAAGGAGTGGCAAAATATGGCTCAGACGATTGCTGGTAACTTGATCAAATCCATGAAAAATCGAATACAAACTCTGAAACTATCAAATAGGAGACTTACTCTATACCAGTTCCAAATACTGTTTATTTATGTTGAGTAGGGATTACGTAATTAAATTTTGAAATTGGATGTAGTTTATTTCTCCTTATTTTTTCTTAGGCCACTATAGGGTAAAAAATAATTTGTCGCGGAGACACTTTGTCGAAACTGGAAAGTAATGGCTGGACAGCTCCTTCCCAAATATGACAGCAGTAGGCCTGATCTGGCTCTTGTAAATATAGAGGATATCACAGAGAGTCAGGTACTTACTGGGGCGGTACAGGGAACCGATCATCTTTTCTGCATCTTTAGCGATGTAGAAGTTCCACTTGAGGTCTGCGTTTAGTTTAATGCCCAATAGTTTGTTATGACAGGGGGGGGCTCCATTCATCGTGACTGGTGGTAGTTCGGAGTCCGGTCGGCGGTGAAACATAGAAAGGGATGCTGAACTATGAGTTCTTTTACATGGCAGAAAGAGACATATTTACCGGCACATATTGACAGATGAAAGTAGAAAGAAAAGGTAATGAAAGCAAGTGCTTCTTATTATCCCCAGAGATTAAGAGAAGACCGAAGATGAAGAAAAAACACCACTTATCACTAGAGATGGACAGATGAAAGCAGAAAGAAAGCCTGAAGAAAGTTGGGGACCCATCTTATTGCCAGAGACGAACAAATGAAAGTAGAAAGGAAAGGTGATGAAAGCAATTGCTTCGTCTTATCTCCAGAGATTGACAGGAGAGAGCAAAAAGTAAAGAGGAAGATAGAAAGAAGCATCATTTATTGCCAGAGATTGACAGATGAAAGCAGAAAGAGAAGGGGAGCAAAGAAAGAGGCACCTTTTACTGCAAGAGCTTGACGGATGAAAGAAGAAAGAGGAGGAGAGGAAAGAAAGAAAAAAAGAAGCACCGTTTATCGTCAGGGATTGACAGATGAAAAGAAAGTGAAGGTGAGCAAAGAAAGAGGTACCTTTTATCGCCAGAGATTGATAGATGAAAGAAGAAAGAGAAGGAGAGCAAAGAAAGAGGTACCTTTTACCGCCAGAGCTTGTCGGATGAAGGCAGAAAAAGAAGCAGAGGAAAGAAAAAAAGAAGCACCTTTTATCGTCAGAGATTGACAGATAAAAACAGAGAGAAGGAGAGGAAAGAAAGAGGTATCTTTTATCGCCAGAGATTGACGGATGAAGGCAGAAAGAGAAAGAGACCAAAGAAAGAGGTACCTTTTACCGCCAGAGCTTGACGGATGAAAGCAGAAAAAGAAGGAGAGGAAAGAAAAAGGCACCTTTTGCCGCCTGAGATTGACAGATGAAAGCAGACAGTGAACGAAAATGAAGAGACACGCTTTTTTTCGGCAAACATTGACAGATGAAAACAGAAAAAAATGAGAAAAGAAAGCGACTCCACTTATCGCCAGATTTTGACAAATGAAAGCAGCAATAGAAGATGTGGAAAGGTGGAATTACCTCTTATCACTAGAGATAGATGAAAATGCACAAGATGATGAAAACAAGTGCTTCATCTTATCGCCTGAGATTCACAGGTGAAACCAGAATAAGATAAGGAAAGAAATCAGCACCTCTTATCGCCAGAGTTTGACAGATGATGCTGAACTGAAAAGTGAGGATAGAAAGAGACTCCTCATATCTCCACAGGTTACATAAATAAAATATATGTGAAAAAAGGAAGAAGGAGAAAGGACACTATTTACATAATACCTCATCTCAGAAACATAGACAGATACTGAAGGAGAAAGGAGTTATAAAATTGATCTGTCAAAATCCATTGAGGAGACCTGTAACCCCCCCCAAAAAAAAACACAGACAATGCTAACCTTAGGGTCGACAACACATACTTCTCCAAGCTTTAATCAGATGCCCTGCGTACCACCTCACATCAAATCGACGACCGGTACTTTATCGAGGAATCACGGGATCTGTCCTCAAACAATAAAAACAATAGATTCTAACATTCAAAATTTACATCGTATCATTTCTCTATATTTCAGATTTTCTGGATTTTGTAAATTATGCTTTTTTCGTTTTAGAAGATGCTCCTCCCAAAGTCCTTTCTTGGATATTGGTAATTTTTTTTTTGACTAAATGTGTGTACCATGTCCACAATTTGCTAAAGTTTTCAGAATATACCTGCAGAGAAGACAAATTGAATTAAATAGATAATGAAAAACTAATACTTCGTTTTTACCGACGCGTTTCGTCATTCGACTTAATCAAGGCAAGTGATGATAAACAAAAGCGAAATGTTGTGTAGTTACATGAAATTAAAAAAAATAATAGTCGCACCTACAAAATCCTTTTTTTTTTTTTTTTTTTGGATATTAGTAACTTCTTTTTTTTGTTCATTTTTTCTTTCTTTTTTATTGCCTAAGTGTCTGTTTATGTTTTACATATCAACAATGTATTAATTTTTTTTTCAAGCAATTCACCCCAAGCAAGGGGTTACAGAGGATTGAGAACAAAGTTAATGAGGTACTGTTTAAGGACAGTATACAGAGAAGGTCGGAAAACAAGCTCAGGATGCCAGATGTCGATTGACATTACACTTGAATATTTGAAGATTATAGTCATCGAAGAAGCAAGTAAGGGGAAGGGAGTTTCACAGATGGGAAGTGCGGGAGAAGAAGCTGTTTGAGTAGAAGAGACGGTTACATTTAAACGCTTTGACAGTGAACGGGTGGGACCGATATACCAGCCTAGTAGCTCGTTTAAATTCATGCTGTCTGGGAACCAGAGAAAGTAGCTCGTCGGAACAGCTGCCGTGAAAATACTTGTAGAAGAGACTGAGGGAAGCCACAGCAGATATGTCGGATAGCGATTGTAGACTACATATCAGATCATGACCTGTCATATTGCATATTTATCTCTGGATTTTGCCGAGGACCCCGAGACTTACAGCGGGGGCAGCAGACCTTATATGACAGCAATATTCCATGCAAGGACGGATGGTTGATTTATAGAATTGAAGGATGGACTCAGACGAGAAAAACGTTCTGGCACGACAAAGAGAGCCAACCTTCCTTGCGGTAGAAGAAGCTATTGATTCAATGTATTTATTCCACCTCATGTCAGTGGACAGCGTGAGACAAAACAGTACTCAGAATAAATCTGTAGGGAAGACAAAGTGAACAGAATAAACAATCGGTAAATAGTACTTAGTCTTTACCGACTATTTTATTTATCATCACTTGTCTTGAACGACGAAATGCGTTGGCAAGGATTAAGCACTATTTAAATACATTTTTGACACTGAAAACTAAAAAACACACTTAGTAAAAAAATGAAGAAAATGTTACTAATATTTAAAAATTGGCTTTCGCATGAGCGTCCTTAAAATGTTTACATTATTAGGACTATTGTCCTCATCTTTGTTGCCATATTTATCACAGCGTTTCGGCCATTGTGCGCTCCAGCCTTCTTCAGGTGGTTGGAATGTTGAACTGAACTCTTTATTTAGCTCGCTGGGGTAGACTGTTCTAGTTCCACGTGCCATGTCTAATGGATACCAGGTGGATAAAAGCGTTGGTTAGATCCAGTGACAGGACCCAAAGAGTTGTGAGTTCAATTCCTGGTTAAGGTAGTGGGGGACTTGAGAGGTGAATTAACAGGAGATAACTTATAACTGACATCCATTAGGCATGACACGTGGAACTAGCACAGTCTACCCCAGCGAGCGAAATAAAGAGTTCAGTTCGACATTCTATCCACCTGAAAAAGGCTGGAGCGTACAACGGCCGAAACGTTGTGATAAATATGGCAACAGAAATAAGGACAATAATCCGAATAATGTAAATAGTGCATATAATACCTCATCTCAGAAATATAGACAGATACTAGTGTAACGACATTTTCCTTCACTTCCCTCGCGAATTGCATCTTTCCGACTCGCATTTTACGTTCATGTTTTTCTTGCTTTTATTGTCTGTGTTTCTGCTGTCACTGTTCGAGCATGCATGAGTGTTTATCCCCTAAATTATAATCTTATCTGTATTTCAAACAGTGCGGACGTGTATTTGCCTGATTAAATCCTAAAAATTGAATCATTCACTGAATGTGATTTGTTCTACGGCAGCCGCCATAAAAGACTTTACTAAACTAAATCCTCATTTCCATTCCTCTTAATTGACCGTAATCTCTGATAATATATATATATATAAATATATATATATATATATATATATATATATATATATATATATGTATGTATGTGTGTGTGTGTGTGTGTGTGTGTGTGTGTGTGTGTGTGTATTTTCATTGTAGACAAATATTCCCAGACAAGTGGATTGGGGAGAGATAGATTTATTAATTTAGAAAACCATATATATATATATATATATATATATATATATATATATATATATATATATATATATATGCGCACACTATGGCTGATTTTTATCATACAGGTCAATATTTTCAAGAGAATGTTGGTATTAACCAACTGATGTTAGAATATTTTTCAGGATATGTTCACACGGTAAATATACAATGTGAATTAATTCATGTATTTGTTTATATTAGAAGATATTTAATATTATTTAACACACACACACATACACACACACACACACACACACATATATATATATATATATATATATATATATATATATATATATATATATATATTATAATTATGTTTTAAAAATATGATTCCTTCGCTATATAATTATAAGTATATCACCTTTTTCCTCTTCCTCTATGATTTAAGGAGCTGATGGAAATATAGACACTGGCTTCATTTTTCATTTTATGTGCCATGTCCTTCCAGGACGTAGGCGATCATGGCTCTCCACCTCCCCCTATCACTTGCAGCTCTCAACAAGTTTCTTCCCTCTGCTTCCTCCCTCAGACCATGTTTTGTCATACACTTGCTTAAGCCCTCCAGGTATGTCACGCTTTGTTTTCCCTTGTCTCTCTTTCCTTCTATTCGACCCGTAAGTATTAGTTTCTCCAGGCCTTCTTTCCTCATTTATGTGCTCCAGAAACTTCAGCTGCCTCTTCCTGATATTAAGCATAAGCTTCCTCTTTGTTTGAGCTCCGGGGTAGAGCGAACTGTCTAACTCTCTGCCTTCAGATGGAGAGGAACACGGACGAGTCTCCGCCGAAGGGCAGAGTCTCTTTCGGTGTGGTTGACTGCCCCTGAACCCGTTTATGCGGGTTCAACGAGGAAATATTTTTGGCCGAGACTACGGGCTCGGAGATCCCACATGAAACCCGGCCTTGTGTCACATGTAACCTTCGTGAGTGGGGGGAGCTAAATATCGCTTTCTCTTTGTTTGTTACTTCTCTAAGATCTCATCGTTGCTCAGACGGTGGGTCCATGATATCGGTAGCATCCGCCGTAGAAGAGACATACCGGTTCGATATTTGGAGAGTACACTAAATTTACCCCAGATCTGAGGAGCGGTTGAAAACATGCGTCTTCTTGCTTCCAACGACTGTACGGACTAATGATCAATCCACACCTCAAATGTAAGAAGAAATGCCTATTCTTAGTAATGCCCCAGAAAAACTCTTTTATCTCCTGCAATGCAATATCATTACGACAGTAAATTAGACCTAACATGGAGCATTGCTGCCATATCTAGGCTGGTACTCACCAGCCTTTACTGTTCGGCCGTGACAGTGTTCAAAAGCGATTACGCTACTCTATGTGTCACGAATGATTTCTCACTCTGCAGGGGGGGGGGCGAATTTTTCCAATGTATGCCGCCAATGCGGTATGAAACGAAAGCATGAGAAATTGGCCTCTAGATATCTATGACACGGAGAGGATTTGTTGAAGAGCAAGTTCTTTAAGTGTTTGACGATCGCGTTTTGTCTGATGATGATGATGATGATGATGGTGATGATGATGCTGATGATGATGCTGATGATTTTGGAAGCTTTCAGCCAATGGGAAATTAACGCGTGGAAACGGATTCACGTGGACGTCGGCTTTTGCAAGTGTCGAGATGAAAGAGAGAGAAAAAAAAAATAATTTCAAGTTGTATTCCCTGATCAAAGTGAGTTTTACGAGGACGACAAATTAATTTTGAAATTGTATTTTCATTGTAGACAAATATTCCCAGACAAGCGGATTGGGAGAGATAGAGTAATTAATTGGGAAACTATATATATATATATATATATATATATATATATATATATATATATATATATATATATATATATATATATATATATATATATATATATATATATATATATGGCTGATGATTTTTATCATACAAGTCAATATTTTCAAGATAAAGTTGGTATTAACCAACTGATGTTGGAAGATTTTTCAGGATATGTTCACACGGTAAATATACAATGTGAATTTAAATCATGTATTTGTTTATATTGTAATATATTTAATATAATTTAACACACACACACACACACACACACACACACACACATATATATATATATATATATATATATATATATATGTATTATAATTATTTTTTAAATATATTAATTTTTTAAAAATATGATTCCTTCCCTACCTAATTAT